CCTCTATCACGGACAGCCTCGCTTCCCAGGCTCCTCGACACCCAACCCTTGCCCCAGCCTCATGGGTCACGGAGCATCTGAGCCTGTCCCCTGAGCAGCCAGCCCTTGCCTGAACCTGTGTGGACACAGAGTGCAGACAGCTCACCAAGCTACCCACATCCTCAGGATTCCAGGATTATGTGTCTAAAGCCTAAAGCTTTGTTCCCAGCTCAGCTAAAATTTAGCAGACTCGTATCTGTGAATTCAGCCTTTGATCTGAAGCAGGGATCACAGAGGCTGATGTTTTTAGTGGATGGAATATTGACACCTCGTGTCACCTTTGCAAGGGTCTCAAACGCTGCCAAGTGAGGTCCTGGCAGGCTCCTGTCTGCTGTGGAGAAAAGGTGAACACCGAGGCCCTCATGTTCACACGATACCTGGTGGGAACGTGTTGCTCATGGTCTGATTACTTTTTAGAAAACGTCCTAAGCTCTGCTTATGGCAAGGTAAGGATCATTTTATGCTGCATCAGAAAATCGTAATTAATCTTGAAAAATATTAGAATAGTGCTAAAATACTGTTTGAAAAATCCAGGGCTGTCTCTAAGGTTTCTACATGAGTCAAAGACTGTAATGACGCCTGCAGTCGCCCAGGGGCCCCAGAGAAGAGGTGCTCCCGGCTGTAGATGTGAGGGGGTCCTGGCTCTGTGCCAGCCCTTCAGGGAGAGGCCTTGACTGACTGTGAAGGCTGCTGAGTCCACAGAGCTGCCAGAGACACTCGGCGGGGAGGCTGTTTGACCAATCTCAAGACCACCCCCTAGACTGCCTGCCAGCCGGAGAAGCTGTGGGAACTCAGGAGAGGACCCTGGGTCGGGGGATGGGGCAGTAACAGAGGGTCCATGCCCAGGGTGCCCAGGCCCCCCGAGGGGCTCCTCACGCCGCCCCCTCCATCCTCTTGCTGGTGCCACTGGGCACCACCAACACCATGACACCCGCAGACAGATAGGCGGTTCTGCCTGAGCTGGCGGAGGACAGAATGGCCCTGGAGGAAGTCGGGCTTCTCCTGCCGCTTCCTGGCCCCCCGCCCAGTGCCTGTGCCACCTTCCTGGCGGCTTCCACCGCAGCACCTGAGAGTTCAGTTGGCCTGCACACAGCGCAGATCATTACCATGACAAAAACACAAGCACGCTCCCCGCCAGTGTAGACTGAGAGGAAGCACGCCCAGAGGAAAGCCGGCCTGCTCACTGGACAAAGATTGCCCCTGAGAATGACAGTCAGAAAACCGTATCCGAGGGTAAAAGACACGACTGTGTCATCAGGAAAAGTGACAGGAAGCCTACAATCCAGGTCATGAAATTACTTATTTTGACTTCACTTTGGATATTGTAAGCTTTTGAGCTGACTCCCGTCGGGCGGATGCTCCTCTCTGAATGCGCCAGTGTCTTGGGCCGCTCTGCTCTGGACAGGTACGTCCCCGTGCGCCTCTGCCTTTCGCCTGTGCCTTCCCTCTGTGAAGGTCATGCAGATGGCCTCTTGCCTCGCCAGGGCCTACCAGTCTGAATCACAAATGAAGCTGGCACCACAGGGAGAGCCAGCAAAGGGCTGTGCTGGCCCCTCCTCCTCTGGCTCAGCAGGAAGGGCCCTGAGGACTGTCGGGGACCATGAACCCAGCGCTGCTGCTGCAGTAAAGCCTGGGGTCACCCTCTCCCCAGTGGAGATCAGGAACCCAGTGCTGCTCTTTCAGTAAAGGCTGGGGTCACCCTCTCCCCACACTGGAAAGCCCATTCAAGACCAGTGCTACAGGGCTCTAGGTAAGCCAAACCACATAGCCAGCAAGTCAAAGCTTACCAGCATCACTCAATACAGAATAGCTGAAAACGTCTTCCAGCAGGAAAAGAAAACCACCTATGTCCTCCTATCACAGCTTGAGGATGCCAGAAACAGAGGTGCAGTCTCCGTCCCCCAGGGCCCATGGGAGGCACAGGGCAGAGCGTGCCAGTCAACACACATACCACGTGCTGTGCCCCACCCACCGGAACAGGCTGGACAGGTGCATGTGAGTGGCTGGCCACCTGGGCATCCCAAGAAAGCTGTCCTGAAGGAGGCACGGGAGCCACAGGACCTAACAGAGAGGCAGCTCAAGCAGAGGGAAGAATTCCAGCAAGGCCTGGACACAGGAGCCACAGCAGGGCAGGATACGAGAGTCACACAGTGCCCCGACGTGGAGCCACGGCTCAGCTGCAAGTGCACAACTCTCCTGCCTCACAAGAGGACACGGGAGGATGTCAGGGGCTGGGGATGCTGGGGAGGCAGGGCAGCCTGCTATTTAAAGCACCAGTCTGAGTGTGCTCAGAGTTGCCGGGGCAACCTAAAGTGAGGTGAACCTGTCCGAGAAGGGGTGGTTTGGTGCCTTTGTAAAAGAATTTCTGCCACACTAGTTTCCACTTCTCTCCACAGGCTGCGGCAGTTCTAGGAGGAAACCTACAGGATGAAAGAGTAATCTTCAAAACCCAAAACGGTGAGCCAGCCCTCAGTATGCAGCCCCGTGAGCCGGACCTTGATCTCCTGTGCCATAAAATACAACGATGGTCTCCACAGATTCGATGTCACCTGCTGCCAAACACCTCTAACTGTCCTACATACGATGTGAATAAGTATTTGGTGGCAAACAAACTGCTCACTCCAAACAAGTGAATTTTGTGTGAAAATATTATCAGCTTTCCACGGAAAATGAAGGCCCTTCTTGGTGAAAACTCAGAAAAGCAACTTCAAAAGAAAACAGCACCTTTTAAGAAGAAAACAGAGCAGCCTACTTGGGACCTGAAGTGTCTTCCTCCTCCAATGCGGCCATTGTGTTATTTTGGAAATAGGTTTCTCCTCTCTAACACGAACAGCCTGTATCCTGGAGCTGTTATAAGGGCTACTTGTTTTCTCCCAATAAGGATAATTATCTCCAAATAATGCAAATAATTGAGTGGTCATGAGCAGTACCCTCCCAAACGTCTACAGCAACCGCGTCAGCTGACCTCTGCCCAGCTCACGTCACACGGCTTCAGTGCCTACGCAATCTGGTTTTCGTCTGAGGTGCGGGCGAGTAAACGCTGTCTCCATCGTGAGAGTCTAACTGTCCTGCTCCTCCCATGGTAACACAGAGGGGCATGGCTTCCGCAGCTCTGATGTCCCCTCCTCATGGTGTAGGATGCTGCCTCCAAACACATACCTGGCGCTCGAGAAGACAATGACATCACTTCATGTTTCTCAGTATCAAGGACCAGTTGTTCTCACTGGATGCATGACTTATTTTTAGGTCAACTGTCGGGGTCTGGGGTGTAATGGATTGGGTTCTACCAGGAAAAGGTCTTCCTACCACGTGTCCTCCTGAGAGGTAGGGGAAGTCACCCTTGGTCACGGTCCCTTTTACCAATGAGGACCGGAGCTTGACTGAGTTTCCATAAATTGCATTTGTATCACGTGTGTGAGGGCCACAGTGCAGCTTGGCTTAAAAGTAATGCAACTTCATGTTACCAAAAAAAAAAAAGGAAGTTAAGAGTCTTGGACCCTTCAATAAGTGTGTTAGGGGCAAAGGGCAGATTGCTTGAAGCTTATGTGACACGGTCAAGAGCAGCCAAAACCAGCAGCATTTACCGAGGGCTTTCCATGTGGCAAGCACATGCTAAGTTCATTAGTCTTTTAAGGAAACATCTCACCCACCAATATTAAAATCGGATTTCAGAGGCAAGAGATGACACAGACAACAGAGGAGGAGCACTCCCTCCAGACAGGACATCAGGGAGACAGCATTCAGCGAGCATCTGAGCACAGCCTGCAGACATGGTGTCAGAGGCAAACCGCCCTCCTCCAGGCAGGCCCCCTGGCTTTGTGTTCACACCAATGATCTCCTCCCCTGCCCTCACCTCCAAGATGCAGAAAGAAGCTGATTTGTTCAACAGAAAGCAAGCCAACTGCTCACACGAGGTCCATACTCCGATAAAAACAGTAGAAGCAACAGATTCCTCAAACCTGCCTCACAAAGAAGACAGTGGGGAGGCACGTGGCTGGGAAACCATGAAGACCTAAGACGAAGTCAGCTCCAAACAAGAAGGCCAGCAAGTGGCGTGGCGGTCACCAAGCTGCCCTCTGCTTCCCGAGTCGAGCATTTTTATCACTAACGTTGTGAAATGGCTACGAACACGTGGCAGTGAAGAACGCATACACTGTGGCTATTCTGCTCTCCTCTGTCCTCGTTTATAAGCAGAACAGCTTTATTTTTACAATTTAAAATCCTTTCTATCAACGACAGTGCAGATAGTACAGGCACCACAAAGGTTTCCTAACCAGGAATTGGTCCAGATTCTGTGAGACCAAGATCAAGCGCACTGTAAGCAAAGAACACTGACAGTGATTGTCATGTCTCTGAGCCGCTGTTAAACATACACAATCTGGAGATATTCAGAGAAGAAAGATCAAAATGAAACAAATGGCAAGTAGCTCTGAAGCATCTTAATGATATCAAATCTGCCCATGACATCTTTTAGTGAGTGCATTTTTCGCTTATTATACATTTAAATTCACTGCTTCGGTTTAAGTCCAATACTTGTCATTAAACTCAATGCACACATTAAGCTTATGTTTTCTTAAAACCTAAAGTTTAGCTTCTTGAGCTGTTGATTCAATGCAAAAGGAATGTCAATGCAAAAGTGCAATGTAGGTAGAATGAATAAAGGGTTCTCAGACTGTGGAGTTCAGGAATAACGAGGGGTGCTGCATGGTGATCTGATTTGTGAGGGGCACCTTCCTTCTCTCCCACGTCTGACCTTGCATACACAGTGGCAGGGGAGAAACAGCCCTGGGCTCCCTGTGTGGACTCCTGGCCCCCTGCATGGACTCAAGGCCCCTCTGCAAGGAGGTAAGAGGCCCCGGAGTCAGATAGGCTCCCCGGGAAAGAGAGTCAGATGAACACTTTTTCATTCTACATTTGCAAGAAACTTGGCAGCGGGGCTGGTGGCCTCGGGGGCTACTCACCTTGCAGCTGGCGGCCTCTGTACAGGTCCCGGGCTTTGGCTGGGTGGGCCCTGGCCGTGTTGTCACATTTTGGCTGCTCATACCTATGGGTGGGGGAGACAGGGTGGGGGAAGGAGAGAGAACAACAGGCGTCAGACGGTTGTGGTCTGTCTTCCAATTCTGGAGCATCCTACGCCGGCACACACCACAGCCTGTGGCTCTCACGCTGTGACACTCCCCACGGCCTCACTGCTTCCTGTCACCTTTGTGGACATGTGGCATAGAAAGCTATTTCTTGCAGTCTGTAGGAAGAAGCACACTGCGATTCCGATCACGGGGCAGGGCAGTCTCTCTATCCAGTCTCTGAATAAATCTTGCCTAGCAGCAGACAGATACCCGCACCTCCCCCTCCCCCTCCTTCTACGGCAGGGTGGTCTGGAGCAAGCACTCGGGTTGTGTCATCAGAGCAGGAGTGTGTGCACGAGGGCAGAGGGTGTGGCCACAACCCCCACCCCACCCAAGGAAAGGACTCAAAGAACTTCAGGATTTGGATTCCGGTGGCCCCAAAGGCCAACTCATTTCCAACCCAGCTCAGGAAGCTACAAGTTTGCCTGTGTCAAAAAAAATAGACTCTCTGGTCCCACGTAACATCAACGGCAAACCACAGGTGAAGTCCTGACCGGGCGGAGCTGACTTCCAAGCGGTAGGTGCCCCGGCTGCTGTGGCTGCAGGGCTCGTGGGAGCAGGTGCCTCTGTGGTTCTGTGGAATCATCTACTGAATTGGCTATGGGAACCAGGGCACTTCTCCCTGAGGGTGTCGATCCACACCTGGATAAACAGCTTGTAAACCCTGCTGCCTGCCATTCAGCAGTGCTTCACCAATGCCTGCTTTGCCCGGGTTGTTCCTTGTCCTGGGTGCAGGCAAAGGCCCCTCCCACGCAGAGCACCAGCCTTGTCCAGTGAGCAGGTGGACGTTTAAACAGAGTGCGGGCCACCATGAGAACCTGACTCCCGTAGCTCCCACCCCAAGGAGGACCATCTTCTGCACACAAGTCCTTCACCATGGCCCTCACCAAGGAGTGGAGCTTGTCACCAGCATGAAGGAGGTGCTGCGTTCTGGGAGATGGGCGTTCCTGGGCCAGCACACTGACAGCCCCTTTCTGAGACTCACGGGACTGCAGACAGCTGATTATCTGCACCCTCTGTCAGCATGCGGGCTTCCTGGAAGCATAGGCTGTGTCTGTTTTGTTCACTGGTGTAGCCCCAGCTCCCAGAACAGTGGCTGGAACATCGAGGGCATTGACATGTTAATTGAATAAAAGATGAATGAATAAATGTGAGCGATTTTTTGGGATTGTTGAGAGACTGTATCGCTCCTCTGCTAAACTGTCCCAGTAGCTTCCCATGGGAGCTGAGAAGTGGCGGGTGTTCCAGCCCCAGTGTGGGGGCCCCACTCTGTTCTCTGGCTTTCACCAGCTCTCTAGTTGCTCCCCATCTGCCCCTCCCCTATGACACTCTGGGTATTAACCCGTTCTCATGCTGCCATGAAGAAACATCCCAGACTGTGTAATTTGTTTTTTTTTGGGACAGAGTCTCGCTCTATCACCTAGGTTGGCATGCAATGGTACAATCTCAGCTCACTGCAACCTCCACTTCCCAGGTTCACGTGATTCTCCTGCCTCAGCCTCCTGAGTAGCTGAAATTACAGGTGAGTGCCGCCACACCCAGCTAATTTTTTGTATTTTTAGTAGAGACAGGGTTTCACTATGTTGGTCAGGCTGGTCTTGAACTCCTGACCCTGTGATCCTCACACTTTGGACCCCTAAAGTGCTGGGATTACAGGTCTGCCGGCCAAGACTGGGTGATTTATAAAGAAAAGCAGTTTAATTGACTGGCAGTTCGGCATGGCTTGTGAGGCCTCAGGAAACTTACAATCATGGCGGAAGGCAAAGGAGAAGCAGGCACCTTTTCACAGGGCGGCAGGACGGAGTGGGTGCAGGCAGGGGAAACGTCAGACACTTCCCAAACCACTGGATCTCATGATAACTCACTCTCACGAGAATAGCAAGGAGGGAATCACCCCAGGATCCAATCACTTCCCTTGGGGTGGGTCCACAATACGTGGGGTTCACGGAAATTACAATTAAAGATGAGATCTGGGTAGGGACACAACCAAACTGTATCCCACCCCCCGCCCTGCATTCACACACACCAGACTCATCTACCCCAGGACTCTGCACTCCCTGCCGTCTGGCTGAGACAACCCTCCCTACCCACGGTGCCTACAACTGGCTCCAGCGTCTCCACCTCAGAGAGGCCTATGCTGGCATGTGACCTGCCCTCACGGGGCCCAGCCTGGTCTTGCCCCACCGACTCTACTGTCTTTGTGTCTATCACCTGTCTGTTTGCATGAGGGACTAGACCCCGCGGGGGGCCGCCCTTTCCACTTTTGTAATAAAACCAAGACTTTCTAAGCCACAGACCCTGCTCCATGTGGCTGTGGGTGCCCAGGGGGTGACCCTAGCCAGCGCTGGGTGCTGAAAAAGGAGTCACAACAGGCCCCCTCCCCTCTCCTCACCAGCCCAAGGCAGGTCTGGGTCTGGGCGGGCATGCAGGGCTATTCCCACCAATCAGGGTGAGGGGAAGCCACTGCGGGCAGGTGGGGAGGCTTTTCTCTGCTGACAAAAAGAACAACAGTCTTTCTTTCTCCAAAACACATTATCACTGCTACATCCAATGCCCTAAAGCTATGACAGGAACAAGCCGCAAAGCACACCAGGAAGCAGAAGATGGCAGAGCGGACCCAAGACGAAACACAAGAAAACCCCACCCCGACTTAGGACAATTACGTCTTTGAACTGCTGAAATCATCCGGAACTTCCCTGCCTCCATACAGCCGAGTGAGAAGTACATTTTGAGACCAGTTCAGTTTGAGGGCTTTCTGTTGGCAGCAGGGACAGCAGTTCTGGTTCTGATGCCCCCAGCAGACTGTAACCCGTAGGAGAGGTGGGGCCTCGCCGCTCTTATTCAATTCTATTTCCCTGGAAGAGGGTTTGAGTGTCGTTGACTACCAGTATGTGTGCTAAATGAATGAATGACAAAGTAATAAAGGTAAAATTGCATGCAGAATCTAAGAAGCCATCTGTATTTGGTTTAATTTCATATCCTTCCTGAAACTCCAAGAAGAGGGAGCTGCCCCTTCTGTAGGCAGAAATGGGGAACAGGAGAGCCTGGGACTTCTCTTTCTGCCGTGAAGCTGGGATGAAGTCCAGTGTGATGAAATCAGCACAGACGGAAGGGAAGAGAGGGGTTATTATGTTTCTAGTCGATGACAATATTGAACGTTGCCAGGTTCTTCAGAGACAACCTTATAAATGCTGATCTCATAATTTCAGAGCCAGTTTGAGGAGCTCTGGGTTTGACAGCTTAAAGATTTTCATTGGCATGTGTAAAACGCCTTCTGCCAGCAGTCTCCATCCACCTCTGTTACAGGGGCACCGCTCGGGGCTGGGGCTGCCACGATTTATACGTGCAGTAAAGCAGCATAGCTCTAAGGTACGCAGAAACACTGCTTCCAAGAAAGGCTTCTTAGAAAACAGTACTCCCTATCTATATACCTAGACACAGAAACTAAAAAAACAATAATTCTCGAACCTAAACCTTGAAAAGGTGCATGTTCTCTTCAAGCCCTGCAGAGCACACGGGTTTAACCAATCCCCCATATCAGTCCACAGAAGCTAAGCCTCAGCACCCCTGTGCAGTGCCAGCTGAATGGGGTGTCAGGAGCAGGTGGCCAGCCAGGGCGGCTGGGACAGTGGAGTGCCAGCCGGGAAGGGGCAGCTCTCACACACCCTGTTGTTATCATGCTTCCCAAGCAGGGCTCCCACTGGGCCAGATAGTGGTGGGTGGACCCGATCATGGTGAAATAGGCATCAGTCGGCTTGAGCCCCTGGAAACTACACCGTTTCCCCCACAAATGTCTACAGGTTACAGCTGATGACAAATGTGGGAAATAATCTAGGAAGCATCAAATGTTCATGCCTAGGCCTTAGAGATGACATCAGTGGCTACTTTTGACATTTAAGAGAGAGTATTTTCATATATTTCAAAACTATTTTTATATAAATCTAGGAAAAACTAAAGTCAAATTCATGTTACAAAGAGCTGTAAAACCACCTCTACTCACGGTTACACAATTCCATGAACACATAGCTCTTGGTCTTCAAGTGCTACTGTGAAATCCCTCCCATTGCTCAAACTCACACAAAATACAAGTGAACAAGTTGTTCTTGTATTTGAGACCCTTGAATAACTTTCATTGCCCTTGTCTTTAGCACAGTCTCACTTTGTCTAAAAGCGGTAACTTGAGGCACATACATATGAATACCACAGAAAGCCATGTTGGACACTCGGTTCTTTCAGCTTATGAAATGCTGCGTTCCCCTTGCCAAAAGCAAGAGCAGTTTCCACCCTGCCACTGGTATGTGATGCCATCCACGTTTCCACCCGGCCACTGGGCCCCAGAGCCACCGTTCAGATTCTGTCCGGTGCCAGTGGGGCAGAGGAGCTGGTGCTGCCTGTGAAGGCAAAGGCACTGCTACTCTCTGGCTGCCATGCGGGGGGTTTTGGAGACCATCGAAGAAATGGTTTCCTTCAGTTTCCAATGGTTGAAGCCATTTTTTTTTTTTTTTTTGAGATGGAGTTTCACTCTTGTCACCTAGGCTGGAGTGCAGTGGTGCAAACTCAGCTCAGCACAACCTCCCCCTCCCAGGTTCAAGCAATTCTCCTGCCTCAGCCTCCCAAGTAGCTGGGATTACAAGCACCTGCCACCACGCCTGGCTAATTTTTTATATTTTTACCAGAGACAGGATTTCACTACGTTGGCCAGGCTGGTCTCGAACTCCTGACCTCAGGTGATCCACCCGCCTCGGCCTCTCAAAGTGCTGGATTACAGGTGTGCGCCACCGCGCCCTGTCAACCCACTGACTTTTACAGGCAGTTCACGCATCAGAACAGAGGATTGCCCTGAACTGGGTGATCGATGGCCACTTGGCGTCCCAGATCATCCAGGTGAGGAGGCGCAACACTCACAGCTGATGGAGACTGTGTGTGTGAGACAGTGTGTGGGGGAGAGTGTGTGGGTGTGTGTGGGTGAGTGTGTGGGGGAGACTGTGTATGTGTGGGGGGGAGAGTGTGTGGGTGTGTGGGTGAGTGCGCATGAGGTACATATGAGTGTCAGTCTGTGAGGGGAGTGTGTGTGTGTGTGGAGTGTGTGAGTGTGCATGTATGTGTGCATGAGTGTGTGTGGTGTGTGGCAGGTGAGTGTGCATGTGTGTATGTGTGTGTGAGGAGTGTGTGTGGGTGTGTGTATATGTAAATGTGTGGGTGTGTGGGGAGTGAGTGTGCACATGTGTACGTGAGTGTATGTGTGAGGTGTGTGTGTGGGTGAGTGTGCATGTATGTGTGGGGAAGTGTGTGTGTGGGTGTGTGGGGAGTGTGTGTGTGCATGTGCATGTACATGAGTGTGTGTGTGTAGGGTGTATGTGGGTGAATGTGCGTGTGTGTATGAGTGTGTGTGTGGGGTGTCTGTGCAAGTGTGTGTGGGGGGTGTATGTGTGAGTGTTTGGGGGAGTGTTTGTGAGAGTGGGTGTGTGTGAGGGTGCATGTGTGTGGTGTGTGTGGGTGTGTGAGTGTGCATGTCTGTGTATGGGGGAGTGTGTGTGGTGAGTGCATGTGTGTGTATATGTTGGGGGTAGTGTGTGTGTGTGTGTGGGTGTGAGTGTGTGTGGGGTGTGAGTGGGTGAGTGTGCATGTGTGGGTGGGAGGAGTGTGTGTGTGTCGGGGAGTGGGGGTTCTGCTTTCCTGGCTTCCACGCCCAAAGCCTCCCAGGGTCACAGGAGCAGGTCTGCCCTGTTTACCTCGTGGACGTGCCGGGGATGGGGCGGCCGGTGTCCACCAGGACGCACCAGCAGTAACCTGTGGAGGGGTGGCACTGCACCGGCTTGTAGAGGCCGCCGTGCGCGCACTCCGGGATCACCACGTTGTCGTTCTTGGGCTGCTTGGCCTCCTCCAGGGCCGACTGGTGCTCCTGGTCACAGGACGACGCTGCGGGGAAGAGAAAGGCGAAAGGTGAGCAGGAGCCGGGACGTCGTCCACACACAGAGCTCCTGGCAGGCCGCAGAGAACTGCCCAGAAGTGGGTGGTCCTCTGTCACCGCACAGGCAGGAGGGCCTGCCAGCGTGGGGGCACAGAGGGAGAAGAGGAGAAGGCTCATGCGGCTCCACTCCCCGCGGCATGGCGTGCTGCTGTGATCACTGATCTGTCAATGGCACCCCACAGTGGACATTCCCGCTCCACACCCAGCACAGCTCACGGGTCAGCACAGGCAGTCGCCTGGGAGAGGGCATCCAGGAGCAGATGTGATGCCCGCAGGACTCCTGAATGTGGTGAGGCAGAGCCAGCCCTGTGGCTGAGCGTCATCTCTGCTCCCCACTCCAAGGGGCGTCATCTCTGCTCCCTGCTCCAAGGCACCTGCACTGAGGTGGGAGGCTCCTCAGAGGTGCCCCAGGGCAAGGACTTTTTAAACTTCAAGGCTCCCTGGGGCACCCCTCTGCCCACATTCTCAGCATCTGTTCATCGTCTACCCCCCACTCCCCAATGAGAGGGTGACACAGAAGAAAATCTACCCTGGGAGCCTCCCCAAGGTCTGACTTAGGTGAACCCTAAGCAGAACAGGTGCACACTATCTAAAACTCTTTCAGCCCCAAATCGTGAGAATTTCCGCTGTACTATTTCTAAAACAAGCTTTGTTACTGACAATTGGTAAGGAATAATAATGAGAGGTATTCTTACTCAGCCTGTGCACCAGGCATTGTGCTACACGAATACTGACACTCACATGCAAATAAAACAATGGCTTAAAAATTCTAGGACCTTGCGTTGCCATGTGCCAAGGTTGATCACTTTTTGTTAACAAACTCAGTTTCTCCTTGTGTTTAGATACGTCTAACTGACATCCGTCTTCTGCCCCAAATAGTTGAGCCGAGACTTCCTGAGAATGAATGTGTGCTGGCAACCCCCTCCTGCCTGGCCCTCACCTGGGGGGAAGTGTAGCATTGAGGGATGAGAGGCCACGTGACCTATTGGTGGCCGCGGTGGGAACACGTGGTGGGAGTGGCAGGGCAGCCTCTCTGCTCAGGCTGAAGGAAGCTCGGGCTGGAACATCACCAATCTCTCCAACTGGAAGTGATTTCACATCCACATCACAGCGCAGCTCTAGGGTTTGCTCTGGGGATTGCAAGCAATTGTGGGGGCAGTGTGGCGTACTGACAGGCTTCCACAAGTGTTAGCTATTGCTCTGATTACTTTTCCAGTGCTAAAAGGATGCCTGGCTTATAGGCACTCAATAAATTTCTTTTGAGATAATAAATAATTGTGATGGTATTAATGAAAACCACCCTGATTTTAGCATCTCTAGTAACTCTGTTGCACATCTGAGGATAATCAGATACGTAATTTTATGATTAGTTCATTACTGATTATATTACCAAATGTTGCTATTAGATTTTGTAAACGCATGTAAGTTTTCAGTCTTCACTGCAAGGAAGTAAAAACAAACGTTACCTTTTAGACTCTGTCCTATTTCTATTCCAAAGTGACTAACAATCATTCTCCCCGGTGACCTCATAGGCTGCACTCAGCCACTTGAAAGAGTGGATGATAAAGATTAAAGGGAAGTCAGCGTCTGCTCAGATCAACATTTTTTGGAATAAGTGCAGAGCTCACGGATCATTCAAATCTCACAGTAAGTGCTCAAAATCGGTTTAATAAAAAGGAGAAGCAGCAGGAAGAAACTGTCAATGACTGAAATTTCATGTGATTGTGTTTTATAAGTTCTGTACTTTTTTTTATGGGCTCCAGATTTTGCTCAGCAAATGCACAGGTGCACATATAAAACCTGTCTCTGGGTTATAGTGAAGAGGTTTTTGTCCCAGTGATAACTAGGAAACAGGTAAGAAAGAAGAAGGACCACGATCTGTATTTCTTTCTGAATTGCTCAGTAAGTTACTTTAGGTCATGGAAGAAACTGAAAACAGCATGAGTTGTGCTAAATGTTTTGGGGGGCTGTTGCTTTGCAGAAATCCTGGAGCAGCTGGTGCATCTCGAAATGGAACTGTGCCTCTGGAGAGCAGCAGCTGAGAATGCCGGAAACCGCCCTCCAGCAGCACCCTGGAAGAATCATGGCTGCCATGTTCACGTGGCGCTTGTTCAGAAATTTTATTAGTGCAGAGAATTTATGGCGTGATGATCTGGACATGAGATACCTTCTGTGCTCTATCCAAGGATGTACTGAATCTATAGAAATCATTTTAGAAGATTCTTGAAACGTCTCTCTTGAGGATTTTATGTGGTATTTGAAAGCTTATCATAAGCAAAATAGGATTAAATCAACAACCTCTTAAAATTTGATGAGCATGACATAAAATATCAAATATACTATAGCAGAATCAGAAGAAACCTTGTGTTTGTTTATATAAACATCATGCTGCATGATGGCTGTTAGCCTGTGCCATTTTATCTGATAAATCTGGCTCCATGGGGGAAATTCAAACTCCCTGGAGAAATGCAATTTCATTTTCTTTTAGTAAGGGCCACAATGAAGGCAGAAGATTTTTAAACAAACCAATATTGGCCCCTGGGAATAGAAGGTGACAGAGCATCAATTACACATGTGACTGTCACCTCCCTCCCTGGCCATCCCAGAATGCAGCGTTCTGCAGGCAGGCAAAGAGCTGACCTGGGCGTGGTTCTCTCTGGCTGGAGAAAAGTCCTAATTCTGTGAAGGACTTAATCACGCCCGTAAGAGGGGACGAGGCGGAGATGAATTCACACACGACAGGTCCTGTGTCACCACAGCACAGAAGTTTCATGTCCTGGGGAGGCACACGGGGCCATGACACCAGGAAGGAACCCATGGAGGCGGAGCTCAGCGATCCTCTGGGAAAATGCCCGTGAGGCCTTAGGAAGCATTAACGGCGCAGGAAAGAGGGAATTGTGAGTGAAACCATAGACTGAGAGAGGCAGATGGCAGGGGTAGAGACAGGAAACAGGGAAGGAGGGGCTGTTCCGGACTGTGGTGGAGTCAGCGCAGGACTCACAGGGGTCCGTGGATGCATCAACCAAGGTGGAAATGTCTAGACACTCGGGTCTGTTCAGTGGGGACAGGGAGCCAAAGTTAAAGTCTTAAAATAATCATATCACTGTAAGCTATGTTTGATTATAGAAGGGATAGGCTAAGCTTTCAAAAAGCCTCCATTGATGGAGAAAAATCAAGCTAGGAAACAGTAATAATGAACCTATTGCAATATTCCATTTTAATATATATTAGATGAAAAATATGTCAGTTTTCTTTTCTATTCAGAAGGCCCTTAACTACATCATTTTCTCTTGTTATAAATTTTGAGGAGTTCATGCATAAAGAAAAAATAACTTGAAAGGAAAAAACGCAAATAGAATTAATTCTGATATGAGGGCATTCAAGTGGCTGACTTTTAACACACACATACATATACATAATATATATATTAATTATGGTATTATTCTATATCTACAATATAGAATATGTATAATTCATTATTCTCCCAAATTACAACATATTTGACCACAGAACAGCCTTCCTTTCCGTGTATGAAGTTCATTCTCACTCACGCCTCTGGCTTTGCATCCATCTGAAGGTTTCTGCTCTTGCCACAGAGTCACCCCTGCGGGAACTCTGAACCCGAAAGGAAATGTATGAATTCTGCAGTAACTCTGTGGTGTAAATATGACTGCATGGTGCTGCCTTTCCCAGCTAGCTCTGCTGGTGGTTTGTGCTCTCCGAGGTCCGTGAGCCTTGCCTGTGCACCCTCTGCTCTGACAGCTTGCTGATGTCTGTGGCTCAGACTCCTGGCCTGTGGGGCCTTGCCCCCCATCCTGAACACACTCCGGAAAAGCAATTAACACGTTGGAGACAGTGTTCCTCTATATTGTCTCATTAAACATTAGGCTAGAAACATGATTCTAATTCCAATTTACTTCTATAAATGTTGTTTTATAGAAACATGATTTCAATTCCAATTTACTTCCATAAGTTCTTTTATAGAAACGATTCCAATTTCACTTTACTTCTATAAATTTTAAGTTTTATAGAAACATGATTCCCATTCCAATTTATTTCTATAAATTTTCAGTTTTATAACCATATAACGACATTTTTATTTATTTGTAGAAAGCTACCTTTGTAAAGTTGGTAGACGGTCTATTAAAAATCATGAGTTCATTTCCCAAACTGGCATTAGATGCTTGTGACTTATAATGTGTCTGGCAGTTTGTTCAAATAATCTGACAACCAAAAGGAATTTTTAGAAGATAATAAGCGGCTGCCAGACATTTATGAACATTTAAAAGATCTTAATTATTTCATTAAATGATGTCTACTTGATTCAGTGTGACGACGCCCAAAGCATTTTTATAGGAAGCAAGAACAAATCACATCCATTCTAAAAATGAAATCTCCATATTTGGCCATATTTCAGGAACTCTCATGCTGCAGATGTAAGTTTTTGGCAAGCCCACACCCTTAAGAGTTTTACGTTAACTTTTGGAGAACTATTGCTCAACTCAGCAGGCACAGGATCCTGGGAAGCTCTTGAAAACCAGAGAAGTATTTGAAAGTGTCGACCTGATCCCCACCAGACCGGCTGCCCCTAAACTAATGCCACAGAGACAGAACCCGCAGGCCCCCGCTGCTCAGTTCCAGCCTTTCCATGTGCCCCTGGGTTGTCTGTGCACCTGCCCAGATGTCTCCCCTGTCCCAGGTGCGCCACACAGGTGTGCAGCTGTTGGCCCAGATGTCTCCCCTGCCCCAGGTGTGCCACACAGGTCTGCAGCTGTTGGCCCAGGCATTTCCCCTGCCCCAGGTGTGCCACACAGGTCTGCAGCTGTTGGCACAGACGTCTCCCCTGGCTCAGGTGCGCCACACAGGTGTGCAGCTATTGGCCCAGACGTCTCCCCTGCCCCAGGTGCGCCACACAGGTCTGCAGCTGTTGGCCCAGACGTCTCCCCTG